TCATCGATTTGCTGAGCATACTTCTCAGATGTAATGGTTTCACCGGGATTCAGATAGCTATAGTGAATCAAACTGCCAGCAGACCACCAAACAGTGACCATAAAAGTTTTTGGTGCAAGTTTGGTTTTGGAAAGTGCTTTGGAGCTTTTCTAGGTCCAATCACTGAGCTGGCATCACCGGTTGTCATATAAAATCCACTTTTCGTTGCATGTCACAATCCGATAGAGAAATGGTTTGTTGTTGTTGCGTAGGATAAGAGAAGACGAATCTTCAAAAAGATGATTTTTTTCATTTGTGGTCAGTTTATGAGGCACCCACTTATCGAGCTTTTTCACCTTTCCGATTTGCTTCAAGTCCCGAACAACCGTAGAATGGTCGACATTGAGTTCTTCAGCAACGTCTCATGTAGTTGTAAGAGGATCAGCTTCGATGATTGCTCTCAATTTGTCATTGTCAACTTCTGATGGCCCGTTACTGTGCTCATCTTCAAGGCTCTCATCTCCTTTGCAAAACTTCTTGAGCCACCACTGCACTGTATGTTCGTTAGCAGTTCCTGAGCAAAATGCGTTGTTGAAGCAAGTTTGTCTCCGCTGCTTTATGACCCATTTTGAACTCGAATAAGAAAATCGCTAGAATTTGAAAATCGCTAGAATTTGCTTTTTGTCTAACGTCATTTCCATAGTCTAAAATACATATAAAATAAACAGCAAGTAACAAGCCATTAGCAAAAAACATAAAGCGAGGGGCCAGCTGCCATGTGGAGTGTTGGTTAGGAGTTGGCTTGGGACGCCAGCTCTGAGCAGCAGGGCCCCAGTTTGGATCCCACATGAGGGCCAGCCCTCTACAGCTAAGATGGTGAACAACAGCTCGCTGTGGAGCTGGGCTGCCATGAGTTGCCGACGACGGCATAGGCTGCAGTGGGGCTGGTCGGCAGCTGGCGTGAGCTTTCATGAGCTGCTGTGAGTGGCCATCCAATGGCCGGCGAGCACCTGCCTCACCCGGGAAGAGCGCAATGATAATACCAACATGGGCCAGTGAAGCAACGTCCTCCACAGCTAGACTGAAGAACAAAAGAACAGCAACTTGTCTGTTCCCCTTTCTCAATTCCCCAACACTGTTCCCCTCCCCCAGTTCCCCAATAAAATCTTTAAAAAAAAAAACCCATAAAGCGAGAAATGCGCATTAAAATAATGTATAACATTACCACATTTATTTAAGAATGTATTTGAGTATCAAAGGCAAATATCAACAATGCAAAAACCAGAATTATGTTTGCACCAACCTAATAGTATATATCTAGTGTAGTATACTTAGTATATGGTTTAGTATATTTTAATTGTATATTTGGGCATGTTCAACTCATTGAATCACTTGCAAGTTTGTGTATGAGTTGGGAACTATCCAGGAGCAAAGAGCATTATCCATACATCTTTAAAGTCAGTGTTTTCCATGAGAGACCATCAAGAACACACCTATAGCTGAGCAACTTTGAATTATTACTCAATGTAGTTAGGGAGAATTTATACTGTGGGGAATGGTGGTGATCTCAGTAAGTGGCTCTTAGAAAGGACTTATATAGGATTTGGGTTTGATGATTTGGGAGAGGGTTCAGGGAAGCAAGCTTTCCTTTGGATTGGGTGCTGTTAGGAAGAAAGTGGGGCACGTTTATGGCTGTGTGGGTATCTTAATCTTACCTAGAGGATTAGAGAAATGAAGCGGGGCCAAAGCTGTGACTCGAAAAGGAATAGCAGTCACTCAAATTAGGCAGAATAGAGGGATGTTTGGTCATTTTTGTGGTTTAGGAAAATTTCATAATTTTGTCTACGTTCAGACATGGTTACAGTGATTTTGTATTTTATCTTGATCCTTTATGGCCCCAGAGAGGCCTGATCTGATGTTGGTGTTCTGTGAAATTGTTTATGTTCAACAGAACCTCAAGGCCTTGCTGTGTGTGCCAGGTTGGTTCCTAGCTGTTGGGCTCCTTATCATATCTAATTTTATTTTTTCACTTGTGAACTAGTTTTCTTGCAGGAAAAAAGTGAGAAAATGTACATAAGCCAAAGAAAAAAAAAATTAAACTACTTTGAAAAACAAGAAACAAGAATTAAACTACCTCAGATTTTTATTGAATATCTTTGCAGATGTTTTATACTTATTTATACATGAATTGTTTATATAAATATGAAGTTATATTATTCATATTATTTATATTTTTACCCTAGGAATTTATTGTGACTCATTTAATTGCATGTGTGTGCCTATTGTACAATAGAGAATGTTAGGGTTAATATCATTGGAGTTGAGATTCTGTCGTACTTATAAATACCTATAATAGTGTTCAGTAATCTGTATTCAGTAATCTTATTACCTATCCCTAGGCCTTTAAGTGCATATGTCTTACATATATGTTTCTGTATGTACACATAAATGCACAATACAGTATGCACAATTAAATAAATTTATTATAGGCAAGAAAGAGAATGCATTTGTTAAAAACTAGATCAAGAACGCATTAATTTTGGTAACTATATGGGTTCTAGTGTTTAAGTGTTAAGTATCTACTCTTTGCTATGAGGATACCGAAAACAGATTGGAGTCCTAGCATTTGAAGACTATGGAGTGTCATTTATAAGTATTTCATACTATTTCTTTATTACAGTAATTGAAACATTTTATCGCTACATGATATCTGAAGAAGTTAACAGAATAACGTGTGAATTGATACAGCATTGTAATAAGAAACATTATGCTTTTCAACACAAGTTTTAATAAAATGAAGATTGGCATTTAGTTTCAGTGCATATGCTTCTTGTCAATGTCTTCCTGCATATAGCCTTTTTGAAATCTAAGTGGAGAGTGATATTTTATGTCTCTACATACCTAAAAAATTTGGATATTCAAAAATAAGTCTCTTCATACATGAATAAGGGTAATCAATCCAACCTTGTATATAATAAAAATCCATTATATAAAAACTTGTCAGATGTATATTAACTTGAGTAAACACTTTCTTTCAAAATTTCATCTGAAGATCTAAAGCCTTTTCAGATATCATTACAACAGTTTTATTGAAATTGAAATGTTTGCCCTCTTTCTCAGGCATTAGTTATAGTATATACATTTAAGTTATCCTCTGACCTTTTTTTCCCTGTTCTTTCCACTTGTCTTAGAAAAAAATGTCCTTAACTCTTATATTCACTTTTACCTCTTGTCCCTTTATTCTACAGTAGAGCCTCCAAAAGCTCTGAAATATAACTGGGTAAATAGAAGAGTTAGTTTCCCTCTCAAATTAGTATACAGAAAAATGAAAGATAGGATTTTTATAGAATTAGAGAACTATTAATAGTAGTATCTGTTTACTTAATGTGCCATTTGTGCTCAGATCTAAAAAAAGGTCTTGAAATACTTGAGTACTTTAAGAGTATTAACTCTTAAAAAGTCCCAAAAGTCTCTTCTAGAAAATATAGAAATCTCCACCTACCTGTCTACTTCTAATTAAGGTTGCGTTTCTTTTTTTAGCTTAGCATTCAAGTTTAAATTGCTATAACCTGATTACTTATCTAATGTGTGTTAAGTAACATTTAAAATTCAGATTTTATAAGTTGGAAATTTATCATAATGTAAATTATGGTAGATTATATTTGTATATATAAACTTGTGAACATTATTACAAACCTTTTTTATGTCATATACCATGCAAGGAAGAGGACAGTGTCCCTGTCTTCAGACTTGCCACACACACACACACACACACACACACACGCACACACACACACGCACGCACGCACACGCATACATATATATATTTGCAATGATTGCAGCACAAGGCAGACTGAGATACAGTAGGTATCAAATTGTGTGGAAATACTGGAGATTGAATAATTAACACTTTTGGATCAAAAGAGACAATGTTATAGGAATTAAGGGTGAGAATGTAAATTGAATTCCTTTTTTTGTTTAAATCTGGAATTAAAATTATAGACATATTAGACAAAATTGTATTCAAAAGTCCTTTTATGTTAAAAAGTAGGTATTTTAATTAGTATTTAATTATAAATTATCTCATATTCAGTTTCTTAAAAGTATATAATTGCTTTCCTCCCCATTTTTTCTTTTTTTTGGGCAGCTTTTCACAGATGGAATCACAAATAAACTTATTGGCTGTTATGTGGGTAATACAATGGAGGATGTAGTCCTGGTGCGAATTTATGGCAATAAGACTGAGTTGTTAGTCGATCGAGATGAGGAAGTGAAGAGTTTCCGAGTGTTACAGGCTCATGGCTGTGCACCACAACTCTACTGTACCTTCAATAATGGACTGTGCTATGAATTTATACAGGGAGAAGCGTTGGATCCAAAGCATGTCTGCAACCCTGCCATTTTCAGGTACATTTCTTTTTCTAAATGATTTCTTTCTTTTGAAAAATAAAGAGTATGAAGTGCACTAAGGAAATATATTTTAAAACTGCCTGTTTTTTTCTTTGAGCAGATATTTGGTTAACTTAGAAACTTAACTAAAGAATTAGGATTTTGTTTTTGCTAAAGGAAAACATTTCCTTTCTATCTACCATTCTGATTGTTGACTCTGCTAAAGAAAGGACTACAAAGAGGTTTTGGATGCGTCTGCTACAGAAGACCAAGACTTACCCTTAATTTTTTTTAAAGCAGTGCTTCACTCAGAGTTCTTGCTTATTATGATTCTTTTAATTCTGCTAACACATCTTTGTACTCTTTAAACTTTATTTTTTAATGTGTTAAATGTTTTTTTATAAGAATGTCTTGCATTTGCTTGATCATTCTTATAAAATTACTATCTTAAAATTCTCTTTCTACTCTTAAAAACTCACAAATGAGCTTGATTTGAAAATAACAAGTTCATTCGTATTTTAAACCAGAAGTTCTCAAACATTTTGGTCTCAAGACCCCTTTACAATTCTTAAAGGTTATAGATTACCCAAAGAGCTTTTGTTTATGTGAGTTATGTTTATCAAATTTACCATGTTAGAAATTAAAACAAATATTTTAGAATACAAAAATATCAAGTGCACACTCCACGTAGCTTATCAAACTACACTATACTCATGAGAGAATGAGAGTAGAAAGGGTAAATAATAGCTTATGAAAAGAGTTTTAACTGCACAGACCTCCTGTAAGTGTCTTGGGTCTCCAGGGATTCTGAATCATATTTTAAGAATCGCAAAGTAAACACTGATAAAAATGGAATGGACCAGTATCACTTATTTTAAACCTGTTTCAAATAATATTTTGGCATAGAAATCTATTAAAACCCTAATTTTAACCATCAGATATAGTCTCTGCCTTTACATGAGTATACTGTCTAGAATGTGTTGAAAGATCCTGATTAATAGGTTTATGTTTGTTCTTTTGTGTAAATTTTTTTTGTGGTTTTGAGGCATATATATATATATATTCATATTCCTAAATCTTGTTCCCAGTGGTTGGGAAATATTTATATAACAGGATTAAAAATGAATAGTTGCATAAATTAGGCCAAAGGAAAAGCTGGAATTCGATTCATATACAAAAAATATTTTATAAGGTTGTTAGAGAGGAGCTAGCCATATGAGGTTCCTAACTGAAGCAGGGAGGAAAATATTCGTTTTAAGAGTTGCTGTCCAAAAGGTTTAAGAAAAAAGTTGCT